GTGAGGTCTTCTTGTTGTTGTTATGTCATCATTCTTATTCGTGACCGATCGTTACAATCACGCGTGTTAATCCACTGCTGGATGAAGGTGGGGGGAGTGGGGGGGGAAAGGTTGTTGATTTGACAATACTGCACCAGCCACTCGAACCCGCTCACGTTGAACCGTAGTCCCGAATGGAACTCGGGTGCCCGGTGTTTCACAGCCAGCGATCGATTCACCGACAACACCCACACAAAGACTCCCCTAACCCCACACTGTATAGCCTTCAGCAGGCTGCTGGGGCAAGTGCTGTGAGCATATTAACTCAGGTAGGCACGTGAGCTACAGGTGTTGTGCTGTGGTCGCCACCACGCAAGACAGCCTTTGCCTTCCCCTGTGCTGATGGGGTTTTTTGTTAACTACACCTGCAACCATGTACTCATTCAAGGCGGAGTCGACCTAGGGGAAGCCCAGGACTGACTGATATTCACTCGCGCAAGTGCAGAGTCACAACACAGACACCATAGACGAAGATTACCCGTATAGCCTTAACAGACTGTTGGAGAGCACCTGTGAAGGCCGGAACGGTGGGTGGCCAGCACCACGCCCGGCCGCCTTTGTCTCCCTAGTGGCGATGTTTTACTACACACCGCGCCAGGTACTCATTTGAGGGGAGGCCCAGGACCGGTTCAGATAATCGTCACTGGGTGATGGCCGTGAGCGGGAATTGAACTCGGGTCGCCAGGTTCGTAGCCCACCACACAGACACACACAGACACACACAGACACCACACCGACACACACCGACACCACACAGACACCACACAGACACCACACAGACACCACACAGACACGACACACAGACACCACACCGACACCACACACAGACACACACAGACACCACACCGACACCACACAGACACCACACAGACACCACACAGACACACACAGACACCACACAGACACCACACAGACACCACACACAGACACCAACACAGACACCACACAGACACACACAGACACCACACCGACACACACAGACACCACACACTGCCACACACAGACACCACACAGACACCACACTGTCACACGCAGACACCACACACAGACATACACAGACACACAGACACCACACAGACACCACACAGACACACACACCACACAGACACACACACCACACAGACACACACACCACAAAGACACACACACACCAGACAGACACACACCGACACCACACAGACACCACACCGACACACACACACAGACATCACACAGACACTACACACAGACACCACAGACACACACAGACACACACCGACACACACCGACACACACAGACACCACACAGACACCACACCGACACACACACACAGACACCACACAGACACCACACTGTCACACACAGACACCACACACTGCCACACACAGACACACACCAACAACAACAACCGCCATTCGCCACTAAGTGGCGGTGACGTCACCACGACGCTTGTGCCAGGCCATGTGCACCTTGAGGCCACGTGAAGTGTCGAACGCCCGCTGGCAGGAGGTCACGGGGCAGACTGGCTGATGCACCACCTGTGCCCTCTACTGTACCAACTTGCTGTGCTTTATCACCCGGCGCTCCGCTCGTTGTTGTGAGCGTCGCTCCTCCGCCCTCCGTTGTTGTTGGAGGGCGACTGCCTCCAACTGCCCAGTAGCGTCCTTCACGAGCCTCCTCCACTGAGGCCCATCTTGACACCGCTGGTACCAGTCATCGGCACACACAGACACACACAGACACCACACCGACACCACACCGACACCACACACAGACACCACACACAGACACCACACACAGACACACACAGACACCACACACAGACACCACACACAGACACCACACACAGACACACACAGACACACAGACATCACACAGACACCACAGGTGGTGCATCAGCCAGTCATCACACCACACAGACACACACACCACAAAGACACACACACCACACAAACACACACCGACACACACCGACACACACCGACACACACACACAGACACCACACAGACACCACACAGACACACACACAGACACCACACAGACACCACACTGTCCCACACAGACACCACACTGCCACACACAGACACCACACCGACACCACACCGACACCACACCGACACACACAGACACCACACAGACACCACACACCGACACCACACCGACACCACACCGACACGACACACAGACACCACACCCACACACAGACACCACACACACACAGACACACACAGACACCACACAGACACACACCGACACACACAGACACACACCGACACACACAGACACACACCGACACACACCGACACACACAGACACCACACAGACACCACACCGACACACACACACAGACACCACACAGACACCACACTGTCACACACAGACACCACACAGACACCACACAGACACCACACCGACACCACACCGACACCACACCGACACACACAGACACCACACACAGACACCACACAGACACCACACACAGACACCACACACCGACACCACACCGACACCACACAGACACACACAGACACGACACACAGACACCACACACACACACAGACACCACACACCGACACCACACACCGACACCACACATCGACACCACACCGACACCACACACCGACACCACACCGACACCACACAGACACGACACACAGACACCACACACACACAGACACCACACACACACACAGACACCACACACCGACACCACACACCGACACCACACACCGACACCACACACCGACACCACACACCGACACCACACACCGACACCACACCGACACCACACAGACACGACACACAGACACCACACACACACAGACACCACGCCGTATAACAGCCCTTATCACATGCTGCTGGGGCAAGTGCTGGTTCGCGAGCGCCTATTAAGGGTATAGCACCGGTTCGGATATTCGGGAATCGAACTCTGGTCGCTATCGCCTTCGTAGGCGAACCTCTTCATGCAACGTCCTCCCCCCCATCAACCAAAGACAAAGATCCCCCGTGTAGTCTTTGAACGGGGATGCTGGGGGCAAGTGCTGTGAGCGCGTCCCACCGATTATGAGGCCTCGCCACACGAAGCTGGAGGCGCAGCGCGCTAACCACTGCGCCACCGCTCCACCCGTCTGTGATCTGACCACAGACGTGTGACCCTTCCTCGCCTGTCACTCCGCTGCTGGATGAGGGTTCAACTCTAAGCCGTGCGAGCCGTCGTGGGGGAGGAGAGGGGGGGGGTTCATCATTGACCCACGCTGCACTGCGCTGGTCATCGCGTACCGGGCAGGGTGGCCCAACACGCTAGGACCCCAGGGGAATCCAGCCAGTACAGTCTAGCAGTGGAGTTTTCGTTTTTTTGTTTTCGTTTGACCACCGCTGCTGCTCACCACCCAGCATAGCGAGCCGCGCGGCCAACCCCCCAACGGCGCGTTATGACCCGAGGAGAGAACGAGGTGCGGGAGTGGGGAGGGGGGGGAGGCTTCATTTTTTAAATCCTTTATATTAAGTTCGCTTGCTTGCTTGCGTGCTTGCGTGCTTGCTTGCTTACGACCGTGCAAATCTTTCGGTCAGTTTTTTTAACCCACTTCCCGTGATCCAATCGAGCTGACATTTTGCACACAGACTCGTTGTTCGAGACAATTAATGTTCGTGAAAAAAAATTCAAAAATGTTACACTCTTTAGGGAAAACAAATTAAATATTTAATTACCAATTGTTTAATACTGCAGACAATCATCTGACCCATAGGTGGCAGCCATCTCAAGCCAGAGGACGAGAGGACTCTAGCCGCCACGCATATAAAGGATTTATAGTGAAAAACTTTGTTTTTACGGGTTATACTTATTTACGGGTGACGATTGCCCTCCCCCTCCCCTGATTGCTTCGTGGCATCGTCGAATTTATCAGCTCGACACAGAAGTCGCGGCGGGGTTCGAGGTGGGGCAGCGCGCACCGTGAAAGTAAAATAGAACGGAAGCCCGCGTTAGATTGCCGGTGCTCACTGCGATCGCGATGATGATGATGGTGGTTGTGGTGCCAATGTCGAGGTTCTGCTGCTGCTGCTATTAGGGGACGCCCATAAATGACGTCACGCACCTGGGGGGGTGGGTTAGACATTTGTGACGATGTGTGACGAAGGGGGATGTTTGAGAAATGTGACGTTGCATCAAAATGCGCAACTTTAAATGAATATAGACAACACATTCTACTTATATTCTTGGTTCTTTCGGTAAAGTCCCGTGGAAGGGAAAAAAAATAAAACAATAACATTCTCACGACGTTTCGACTGCAACACAAGCAATCATCATCAGGTGTGAAATCCACAGCAAGAACATTTTCTTGCTGTGGATTTCTTGCTGTGGATTTCACACCTGATGATGATTGCTTGTGTTGCAGTCGAAACGTCGTGAAAATTGTCTTGTTATATATATAGTTATTATTTTATTATTTCCCTTCTACTTGATGACTTTACGGAAATAACCAAGAATGTGAATCCCTGCAGTCACGAAAGCTTTAAATCAATAAATATCTCGCTGGTTCAGCAGTTCCACTGCTGGATTAATATTTTTTTTCGCCTGAGGACGACCGCTTGTGTTGCGATGGAAACGTCGTGGTTTATTTTATTTTTAGTTTCATCTTTCTCCCTAACGTGACTTCACCGAAAGCACCAAAGAGTCGGGAGGAGAATTTCTCTCTCCACAACGCTGGCCTGCTGACGATGGTTGTTTGTAGTGAGCGGCGAAACGTCGTGCGCTTGGATTGTCATCGCTCTTGTGGGTTTTACTCTCCCAAAACACAGCGGCGTGCCGAAGTGGCGACGAATCGGCACGTTTGTGTCAACGTGACGGCAAGCTTGATAATAATAAATAATCATATTTGGTTCTTTCGGTAAAGTCACGTACAGTGAGGGAAACAAGTATAACCCGTAAAAACATTTACGGGTTATACTTGTCATTTATGGACGTCCCCTAATAGCAGCAGC